GAGGGGGCGCCTTGCAGCCGGGCCGACCAGGGGGCTGGGCGTCGCGGGCCCCCCAGTGGGGAGCGGCGGTGCTGCGCGGGTTTCCTGAAAACCTCCCAGCGGAGCTGAGCTGCGCGCCGCCGCGAGGGCGGCCGTGTTGTGAGCGCGGTGGGACGCCGAAGAGCGCCGCCCTGCAGGGCCAGGTCGGCCGTGCCTTGGGGATCGCCTTGTGCCTTGAGACGACCTCGAACTGCTAGTTCCGGGAGGAGGAAAGCAAAGCTTGGTGGTCAGTGGGTCACTCTAGCAACTTAGTAGGTTTTTGTTCCTTTTCGATGACGCTTGATTCCCCATTTGGCAAATTGGTTATGCCTCCCCCCCCCGTTTTAACGACAGTACCTCTGCGTGTCTGTTACAGCAAAACCTGTGAGAGCCGGAACGCGACCCCAGTCTCACAAGTTTTCCGCCTTTGATAGGGGCAGTCGTTATGTCTGCCGCTCTAGTAGCGGAAACTGTTTTTGAGTTTTCTGTCTCTAACACGTATCCGGGTTAAAGCCTTCAGCTGCTAACCGAAAGGTCAGCGGTTCGAACCCAGCAGGCGCTCCGCTCCGCAGGAGAAAGATGAGGCAGTCTGCTTCCAGAAGGGTTGACAGGCTTGGAAACCTTGTTGGACGGTTCTGTAGGGTCCCTAGGAATCAGAGTCGAGTTGCGTTGGATAGATTTCTGGCTGTCACGGGTTTTACTGAAAACGTCGCCTTGACACGGAGGACGGGTCCTAGCAGAAGTGGGGATTGGGCTGGTGTGTGTGATCTCCCCACAGAGACGCCCAGCCCACCCCAGGTGTTGGGTGGCTCTGCAGTGCAGTCCGCATCCTGACATGCCAGGTGGGTGTCAGGTGTCTCGGGCTTGAGACCGCGCTTCAGAGCCGGCCTGCGGTGGGCAGTGAAAGAGCTGAGGGCGCGCGGGTCTCCGGGGTGCTGGGTGCCGGTGTCCTGCCTGGCGCGGCTGACCAGAGGTTGGCGGTAAGAACTCACCAGCCGCTCCAGGGAGAAAGGCGAGGCTGGCAGCTTCCAGAAAGACTGGCGCCTTGGAAACCCGTGGGGCAGTTCCACTCTGCTCTCTAGTGAGTCGGAATGGACTCCGGGCAGTGAGTTTGGTTTGGTTTGGTTTGGTCCTCCAAGGTCCCTTTCGTGCTGTAGCCAGTCATAGTGCTGCACCCATCTGACAGGTGTGTCGGTTAGGTTGCGGGGGGAGGAACCCCTTGCTCACGCCCCACCAGTAAGTAGCTGCGCAGGTTGCACTCCTGGCTGGCAGAGCCTCGTCTGACAAGAGCATGCTGAGAGGCGCCCAGGCCAGGTACCCTGGCTCCCCCTGCCCTGCTGGCATCTCTGGCACTTCGTGGAGAACGTCTTTGCCTCGTGTGATCTCCTCTCTGAAGCACCTGGTACCACTTACAGCTCAAGTGCTTCTCGGCTGAGGAAGGGCGAGTCTGCGGTTCCAAGTGGGATTTTGAATTACAGCTGCTGGTTATAATTAAAGATGTAGCGGTGACCTGCTTACCCCCAACAGCAGGAGGCGGGCGGGTGGACCGATGTGGAGCCAGGGTATGCTGCGCCGAGCGAGGGTTTGCCCTGGGCTCCTTGTCCTGTGGTCTGTCACGATGGGGCAGGGCTGCCAGGCTCCTATGGGGCACCCCTGGCACCAGGGGTACTTTGGGGTATGGGACATTTTAGAAGAATTAGCCTTGAGGGGGGGAGCTCTGGTAGCATAGTGCCTAAGGCACTTGACTGCTAACCAGAAGGCTGACGGTTCCAACCCACCAGCCACTCCTCACAAGGAAGTTTGGGCAATTTACTTCCCTAGTGATGATGTTGTTATTATGTGTCAGATCCGACTGACAACAGCAAGCTTTGAGAGGCGCCTGAACTTTGAGGGCCGCCTTGTCCCTTTCCCACGGTCGGAGACGGGCTCCTGGGCAGCTGTGTTCACTTGTTGGAGCCGAGGTGGAAGCTGGGAGGATCACCCCGGTACCTGCTTCTGGGCCCCAGAGCAGAGGGCTGTTTTGCCCAGTGCTGCTCCCGGCTGAAGAGGTCCCCTCTCTTCAGTGTCCAGACGCTGCTCAGAGAGTCGGGCCTGTGCTGAGGTCTGGCCCTGGCTTCGCTGGCGCTGGGCTCACCCGTCCTGGCTGTCAGGACGGTTCCCAGGTGCTGCCCGCCCTCAGGAGCCCACTGTGAGCCTGGGGGGCTGTCGGGGCTGGGCCACAGGCCCACAGGGGTGGCTGAGACCTGGGCCCACAGGGCAGAGGTGAAGCCTTTGAGCGACTTGACAGTGACAAGGCTTCGGAGGTGTTATTACAGAGCTCCCCACCCCTCGCAGGTCCCGCCGACTTCTGGCCTGCCGCGGTGGGCTCCCGCTCTCCTCCTGTGGAGCCTGGGAGCTCCGGGCTTGGCCCCACACCGGCCCACACCTCACACCCACTGCCCTCTTTGCAGTGCCTTCCCTCCGCCAACGGTCTTCCGCCAGTGCCCCCGGGTCTAAGACCTGGTGCCTCCCCACGCCGCGCTCCCTCCCATCTCATCTCGGGTCCCCCACTGCTTAGAGGGAGCCGGCACACCCTGTTTCCACGTGAGGAAGTCAGCAGTGGGCGTGCTGTCCAGGTGAGGGCGGTCTCCGTGGCCACTGGGTTCTGGAACTACGGCCTGTGACGTGTGACAGCTCGCTTGTTCCCAGCATGGGGTTATCGACTGGGGCTCAGTTTTGAGGTTGGGTCAGGTCAGAACCTTTGGAAAGGTGCGCTCTGGGGTCACAGCACGGAGGCCGGCCGGTTTGCAGGCATGGGAACCGGACAGGGTGGCCGCCCCCGGGAGGCCGTTGGCTTGTCTGTCGCGGTCGAGGGCTGGGGGTTTTCCCGAGCCCGGGGCCGGTTGTTGGTCTGGGTCTGCAAGCCCCCTGCCTCCACGCTGGCCTAAGCAGTTCGCTGCCGGGGTTCTCAAACCTGAGGACAGGGTGGCCCTCGGGCCCCCAGAGTCCCTCGCTCAGGAGGACCCTGGGGATGTGGGGCCGCTGAGACGCGGCTGCCTGGCGGTGTGGTAGCAGCTGTGTGTGCAGCTTGGTGCAGCCTTTCTTCTGTTTGGGGGGCTCCCCTCCCCAGGATGGGGCGTGGCTTGGAAGCTAGGGGTCAGTGCTGGATGGTGGGTGCGATGTGACTTCCTCAGGAAGCCAAGGCGTCCCAGCAGCTAAGCCCCGGGGCCAGGTGGGGCTGCCGGCGGGAATGTCAGGGGAGGTGGCCCTCACAGGCAGGGGAGGTGGCCCTTAGCGGTGGGTTCTCCTGAATCTCCTTCCCCGGAAGTGGGCGTGGAGGTGATCCCTGCAGATTGGGCGCAGGGCAGTCTCTGGGGACCGCAGGCTGTGAGGTCGCTTCCAGACTCCACGGAGATGGTCTGTGGGTGCTACGTGCACCCTGTGTTGCACGTGGGAAGGTTTGGCTGGTCCCCTGCCTCGCTGAAGCCTTGCTTTCCGTTCAAACCCTGCCCTGCCTGGTACACCGCGGTGCTCAGTGAACACACCTGAGGGGCTCCACCTGTGGTGAGGCTGGGGCTTGGCAGGGACTGGGGGCGCCCAGCAGCCGATTAGAAAGACTGGTGGCCAGGCCTCGAGCAGCCATTGTGGGCCCTGGATACCCTCCCTCCCTGCAGCTGGCACCCGGCCCACAGATCCACGTGGGGTGGTCGGCCGGGCTCTAGAAGGGGCACTGCACTGCCTTTGACTTCCCAAGGCAATAGAGCACGTGATGCACTCGCTGGGCTGGTGGCCCGGGGTGGGTCTGTGGGCGACGGGCAGTGCGGAGGCATGCTGGGGGCAGAGGGGCAGTGCGGGGTGACTGGGGAGCAGGGGGACAGAGGCACTCGGTGGCCGGCCTGGGGCATGCTGGGGGCAGAGGGCCAGTGCAGAGCAGCCGGAGTGAGGGCTGCTGGCCGCCTTTGGGTTTATACTCGGGCTGCATGACCTGCCCTCCTTCCCAGGGCTCCTTCTGAGCTGGGGACTGGACACACCCCATGACCATGGGAGTCATCAAGGACACAGTGGCAGGAGACCCCCTCAGGCTAACAGTCCTGACTCCCGTCCTGGGAGCCTGCTTGGTGGTCTGCCCAAAGCTTTGGGCTCTTGCTGCATTTTAGTAAGAGCCTGGGTGTTTGTAGGCTTTCTTGTTACAATGTAGTCTCTGACTTGTCTGTGCCAAGCAGGGAATGCAGCTTGAGGCCCTGCTGCTTCTCTGAGCCTCTGTTCCTCGTGTGCCCTGCGGGCGGGGACCCCCGTGTGTGCAGGGCCGAGGTTAGGTCAGAAGGCGTCCGTGGGCGTTGCTCTGAGGGGCGGCGCCGCGGGGGCGCGCTGAGCCAGGTGTGTGTCTGTTGCAGGACTTGACCATGTCGGGGATTGCCCTCAGCAGACTCGCACAGGAGAGGAAAGCGTGGAGGAAGGACCACCCGTTTGTAAGCGCCGCGTCTGTCCAGCTGGGGGCCACGGGCGGTGGGTCTGCGGCTGCGCGCCGCTCTCTTGCCGGGGCCAGCAGCCATGACTGCTCCTGGTGTCCTCTCTCCGCAGGGCTTTGTGGCTGTCCCGACAAAAAACCCCGATGGCACCATGAACCTCATGAACTGGGAGTGCGCCATCCCTGGGAAGAAGGGGGTAAGAGGCGGGAGCCGTGCAGAGTCTCAGTCTGGTCCCGGCAGCCTGTCACCTGGCCCCGGGGGCGTGGGGAGGTGGGGCCCACGAGGAAGGGATGGCATCGTGGAGAGGAGCATCCCGGGCACAGTGGCTCTCCGCTGGCTGTCTTCGGGGACATGGGGAGGTGGCGGGCTGGGTGTGCTGACTCCAGGCCCCTGAAGAGCCCTTTCCCGGGAGTCGTGCCGGTGGCTCGTCACCTTAGCGGCACAGGCCCACGCTGGCCCCTGGGGCGGCTGCCTGGAGCCACGAATCCTCCCCTAGTGCCCCTCCCCTCGGTGCTGTCCCCAGGCTCACCCAGGCTGCTGGGCGGTGCTGGCTGCTTTGTGGGCAAGTGGGGCGTTGAGGTGGCTCTAGGCGGCCATCCACACTTTCTGGCCGTAGGACTTTTGCCTGGAGCCCTCACCCCTTCCCTTGTGCTTCACGGCTGCAGCCAGCTTCGGGCACCGAAACCCCACGAGCTCACCCAGCCGCCTCCCTCCCCTCTCCCAGCTGAGTAGCACGGGGACTCGGCTCTGCCCCAGTCTGAAGCTGCCAGGCCGCCCGGGACGGGTCTGGATGCTGGCTGTGGTGCCACGGTGCAGCACCCGGGTGCCTCCCTGGGCCCCACCACAGGCGTGGCTCTCACGGCCTGAGTCTCCTCCTAACGCTGCCCCAGCTGACACCGCGGGTGGGTGGGGGCTTAAAAGAACTGGAGGGTTTGCTCACCGTCAGGAGGAAGGAGTCCGGGGCGCCAGTCCAGGAGCAGGTGCTTCCTGTCCGTCTCGGGACAGCGCTGCCCCCCGGCCTCTGCCCTCGGTGCGCGGCGCTCTCCGCTGGGTCTTCCCCGCTCTGCTGGCTTCTGTGCCTAGCTGTCCTCGCCCAGCCCAGCAGAGAGCTGCTCTGAGTAGGGCCCGGGCAGAGAGTGCAGGCTCAGGATTTATAGCTCAAATTCTGGGGGACACGGTTCGGTCCATAAGGCCATGCCAGGTCCCTGGCCTCTGCAGGTGATCTCTGGCCTGCTCACCCCCTGAGCTCGGAGGTTTCCACAGAAGCCCAGTGGTGGGGACAGTGGGCTGTAGGGTGAAGTGGCCATCCCCTTGGTCAGGCGCGCCCCCTGTAGTCGCAGGCCCCTGCTCCCAGCCCTACCGTGAACGGCTGGTTTTCTCGACAGACCCCGTGGGAGGGAGGCCTGTTCAAGCTGAGGATGCTTTTCAAGGATGACTATCCGTCCTCGCCGCCAAAATGTGAGTAGAGCCGCCTGCACCGCGGCTGCCCAGGCCAGGCTGAGCCCGGGACACGAGTGCCCGGACCGCTGCAAGTTGTCTCGGGCGAGAAGTCGGCCTGGGCCTGCCGTGCTTGGCGGGGGGTGCAGAGGCGCACTGACCACCTGCCCTAACCCACCTTGCCCCGTCTCTGGGCACCGAGCACTTTGTGTGCCCTGGCCTCTCGGTGCCGCCCGCTGTCTGCCGCGCTCTCCACACGCGCAGCTCAGGAGGACGAAGGGCTGAACCTGCAGAAAGGCGTGGGGGCCGCGCCCGACCACCCGGGCGGTTCAGCCAGAGGTGGGGCAGACGCCTGGCTGCCGATGGGGGTCAGCAGCCCTTCTGTGGTCACTTTGTCCCGTGAGTTCCACCTGCCCACCACAGAGCAGGCTGTGACCGCGTGCCCCCGTGTTCTCCTGTGGTCAGTGATTCAAGAAGTGGAAGCGTGTTTTCTGTTACTGAAGCATCTGCCAGAAGCAGCTTTACCAACCTGCTGTTAACTGGGTGACCCGCGATCACGACAGTCCCGGAACGAGAGCCGCTGCAGGCCTCTCTTGCCTTCAGCGTCACGTCGGAAGGCCCAGCAGGCACATGAGGCAGAAGCCCTGATGCGAGAATCGCGGCAGGGGACGGAGTAAACACACTGGGGCAGTTCGGGCCATGTGGGTGGCTGGTGGGAATGGGGAGTCAGGTCGCTGTGCGAAGAGGGTGCAACACGCAAAGGTCTGCTGTCACCTGATGGTAGCAAACGCAGGTTCTCGCACCAGCACCTGCGGCGGCATCTGATGCAACTGCTGAGGGCCAGGGCACCTTTCGAGACCTGGCTCTGGAGTGTGAGGCCGTGTCCGCTGGAGGCCTGGTTACCGCCGCCCCGCGGGCCCTAAAGCGAAATCCAGGAAGGAGCATCAGTGTTGACGAGCACCCTGACTCGTCAGTAGGGTCTGTGCTGGGCGAGGGCAGGGTCAGAGCCTGCTGTCGGGCCTGTGCTGAGGGCTCCGGACCCAGATTCCGGGTCCTGGTAGGACAGCCGTCCACAGACAGACCTGCAGGTCCACGCTGGCCGTGTTACGACGTGCCACCACAGTGTTGCGGGAAGAGGACAGCCGTGAAACGGATGGGTCAGCGGGCTCTCCCAGAGTCACTCCTGGGTGCGGCAGAGCCCAGCGGAGCTCGGTGCAATCTGGGTTGCAGAGGAGGTGGCCAGAGACCAGCTGTGTGCTCTTGGGGCCGGGAGCGATTTCACAAGGGATACACGCAGGGGACCAGCCGTCGGGGAAAGCCCACCTCTCGTACAACATTGAAGTCAAGGTCATCGACACTGAAACACACCAGTCAATGAGGAGTCAAGCCCCAGGTCAGAGCCTGAGACAAGAGCAGACGACCATAACTCGGGCTTCACCCGGCCAGGGCCCACGAGGGGGCCCCATGCACCGCCAGAATGGCCACAGCGAGAAGGGCAGGCGGAGCCAAGTGGGGGTGGTGCCGCGCCGCGGAGCACTTGGGCCTCCTGCAGGGTGTGTGCACCGCCACGGCCGATGGGGAGCTGGCCGCCAGGCTCCACCAGAGCTCAGCTCATGCCGACCGGTGACCCAGCAGCCCCGCTCTATAGCGCGTGCACACGCGTGTCCTCCAGACGACATGGCCGGGAGCGTTACTGCCGGGCCATCGAGTCCTGCGCCAGCCTCGGTCTTGCTGTGTCTGAACCGTTGTTGCAGCCGCAGTGGCCGTCCGTCTCGGGGAGGGTCTTCCTCTTGCTCACGGACCCTCCACGTACCACGCACGGGGCCTTCTCCCGGGACTGGGCCCTCCTGACAGCACGCCCAGGTCCGTGAGGCGGTCTGGCCATCCTCGCAGCTGAGGAGCGTCTCGGCTGTGCGTCCTCCGGCACCGATGTTCTTTGGGCGCCCACGGCATGTTCAGCGTTCTCAACGACACCACAACTCCAAGGCACCAACTCTGGGTCGGTCTTCCTTATTCGTGGTCCGACTTTCACACACAAAAGAGGCGACTGGAGATACCGTGGTTTGGGTCAAACGCCCCTTAGTCTTCAGAGACGTCTTTGTTTCTTAATTCTTGAGGTCTTTGCAGCAGGTTTGCCCGGTGCAGGCCGTCATCTGATTTCTCGGCTGCTGCTTCCACGAACGTGGATTTGTGGGTCCGAGTAAAATGAAACGCCTGGCGTCAGTCTTTTCTCCATTATCATGATGTTGCTCACTGGTTGAGTTGTGAATGGTTTTTGCCTTTGTATTGAGGTGTGATCTGTTCTGTGGGCTGTAGTCTTTGACCTTCATCAGTCAGTGCTTCCAGTCATCCTCACTTGCAGCACGCACGGTTGTGTTGTCTGCGTGTCGCAGGGTGTTAACGAGCCTTCCTCCGATCCTGGTGCCTTGTTCTTAGACTCCGCTCAGTAGGTGGATTGAACATGTGCGGAGAAAGGCACAGCCCTGCCACACACCTCCTCTGATTTTGAAGCACATAGAATCCCCTTGTTCTGTTCGAGGAGCTGTCCCTCGTCTACGTACAGGCTGCACGTGAGCGCGGTGACATGTCTAGAATTCCCGTTCTTCATCCCGGTGCTGTCCGTGATCCACACAGGTGAATGCCTTTGCTCAGTTGACGAGACGTAGGTGAACCTCTCGCTGGTAGTCCCTCCTTCGGCTGAAGTCCATCTGATGACGGCAGGGGCAGCCCTTGTTCTGCATCCTCTGAGTCCTCTGGGAGCCTGACCAGCAGCACGGGCGGCTGTGGGACGTGTGGCTTCAAGGAGGAGTGGCTGGAGCTCGGTGGCTCAGGCAGTCTGTGCCTAGCGATGGCTGGAAGCCATCTGGGGACCGCCACGTGGACAGATTGGCGGGAGACCCTGAGCAGCCGGATTGTGCTGAAGGAGTAAAACGGCAGGGCCAGGAGAGGTGGTGGTACGTCAGGGTGACAAGGGGCTTGTGTGCGGAGCACACGCAGCGCTCAGATGGACCAGGGAGCAGGGGGTGTCTCCAGGGCTTGGTGAACAGTGTGGGGGGGGCACTCAACCCCGGTGCTCAACGGCAAACACAAGTCAGAACCATGAGAGGTGGCCTCCGCGCTTGCCGGGTGGCTGAACCCACACGGCCCTGTGCCAGGCAGGAGTGGCTCACACCACCACCGTGAAGGCTGGCAACAGCTGCTCCATTCACACAGAAGCGCACACGAGCGTTCCCGGCAGCCCGGGCGCGCCTGCAGCATAGGGGTGGACGGGCGTGGGTGCCCGTGTGTCGTGGGACCTGCTGTCGGAGCCTGAGGAGCCAGGATGCCGTTGTGTGTGACGGACTTGGGCTCAAGGACACAGGGCCACTCTGTTGGCTCTGGTGGGGGCTGTCTCTCGACAGTGACCAGGCCGGGCTAGACTTGCTGCGCCGTCTGGATGTGACGAAATCTCCCACAAGCGTGCTCTTGAGGAAAAAACGACTCGTCTATTTCCCGAGGAGGAATGTGGGTCCTGCGAGCTCCCGTGTTGAAAGCAGCCAGCCGCTGGAAGGCAGTCTGATGGAAGGCTGGGGAGGGTCCGTGTCAGCCCACACGCTTTGGGCCCTTCGCCCTCCTCGGGCTTGGTGTAGCATCTCGCCACAGGCCGTGGCGGGGAGCCTGGCAGCGGGCGGGGCGGCACTCAGGTGGGCGGGGGCGGAGGGCCGCTGCCTGGGGGGGGCACGCTCGCCCAGATAACTGCCACCAAAGCACCTTCTCGTCGTCGTGTAGGCAAGTTCGAGCCACCGCTCTTCCACCCGAACGTGTACCCCTCGGGCACTGTGTGCCTGTCCATCCTGGAGGAGGACAAGGACTGGAGGCCAGCCATCACGATCAAACAGGTACAGGCCGCAGCGGGCGGGCGGGCGGGGTCCCAGTGCCGTGCGCCTGCCTGTGCCTCGTCCTGCCCGTGTCTTTGCACAGATCTTATTAGGGGTACAGGTGGACGGGGGGGTGTCCCGGCCCTGTGTTGCTGGCCCACCTGAGCCTTGTCCTGTCTCCACACAGATCTTATTAGGGATACAGGAGCTCCTAAATGAACCAAATATCCAAGACCCGGCCCAGGCAGAGGCTTACACGATCTACTGGTAAGTAGGTGGCCCCAGGCTTGAGGTGGCACACACTCTCTGTGTCCAGCCACAGGGGCCCATGGGAGGGTGGGTCCTCGGTGGCTCCTAGCAGCCTGGGCTGGAGGTGGTGACATACAGTAGTGGCGCTGGCCGGGTCAGTGCTGGCAGGGGCCCGGGAGGCCTGTAGGAGGTGGCTGAGAGCTGCCTGTGCTGAGGGCCTGGGCTGGAAGAACAGGCCGCGTGGCAGCGTCTTGGGCGGAGCTGAGAGGAGACTGGGCAGCCTGGCTGATGCCCAAAGGAGCCTCTTGCTGTGGGGGCCGTGCTGCCCAAGTGGGGTGTCTGCCAGCACGGGCGCTCACCTGGGAGCCCAGGTTTCTTGCAGGCGTGAGTACCAGCTCGACCCTTCCCTGGTGGGAGGGGGCGTGGCTGGCTCGGGGCCCCGCTGGGGCATCCATCCCACCCACGCCTGGGCACCTGCTTCCCTGCCCAGGGCCTGTTAGTGGGGTGTGGGCCTGGCTGGGGGCCCCTCAGGTGGGGTGGGCGGGCTCGCCATGGAAACCAGGCCTGCTGACCAGGGCTCTCAGCACAGGCCCCGGGGCCACGCGTGAGAGCGGCTGGTTCTTGGGGGAGGGGGGCAGGGTTCGTGTCAGGACAGGTTTGGTGCTGCTCACATGTCCTGAGTCACGCCCCTGTGGTTGACTGAGAGGTTTCTCTCCACAAAAAGCAGCCTCTGCGGATCCTGGCCCCTGGCGAGGGCGCCCCTGCTGGCCGGGCCCAGGTGTGCGTCCGCGCTCTCAGCAGACGGCTTGCTGGGCCCCCGGGCCACGGTCCCAGCCCCAAGGCTTCAGTCCAGCCTGGGGTCAGTGGGCACTGCCGGCTGATTCTAGAGGGCCCGTGCGGCCTCCCGCCCCGGGTGGACGTGGCTTCTGCCGCTGCAGCCTTCTCCGCGGCCTGCGCTGGGGAGCGGCGGCTCTGGTCCCCTCACTGTGGCCGCGGGATCTGTCCTGTCCTCCCTGACGTTGGCCACTGCAGCCACTGAGGCCCCGGCTTCAGCCTCCTCCCAGGCCGCCCTTACTGCTCTGCACAGGGACAGCGTTTGTCCTCCTAAACTTAGCCCACTTTGGGAGTCCGCTTGGGAAACGTGTCTCCTGCCCCGTCCCAGCGGGCGGTCTCCGGGCCTTGTTTCCCGGGCGCTGCTCCGGGAGAGCTGAGGCCGCTGGAGGTCGGGCTCTGCCTTTGAAAACTAGCAACGAGGAAGCGGGTCAGGCATTCGGTATTTCCTCTCAGCGTTAATGCCGGTGTCTGGGTCCCCAGCAGGCAGACTCGTCTCCCTGGTCCTAGCCAGGGCTGTGCCTCACGGCTGGAACTGTCCTCAGGCGGGGGGCCACAGTGCCTCACACCTCCGCCGAGGGAGAACGTTGTCCGTCCTGTTGCCGCAGCCACGGGGCCCCTCAGGTGGCCGGCCGGGGGCCTTGCTGCGGGCGCTCGCTGCCCCAGACCCGCATCAGCCAGGCAGCCCCCTAACTGTCTTCTCTCTCAAACCCCGCAGCCAAAACAGAGTGGAGTATGAGAAGAGGGTCCGAGCACAGGCCAAGAAGTTCGCGCCCTCGTAAGCCGCGCACGGCCCCGGAGGAAGGGAAGGGTTTGGCGAGAACTTGTTTACAACAGTTTGCAAATCGACAGTCGCTCTTAGGGTTCCTGGTCACCTAGGGAGGGTGGGCGGGCGCCGTTGTCTCTCCGCTCAGTCTGCAGCCCGGCCGGCTAACCTGCCCCGTTTTTCACACAGGGTCTCTTCCTTCGTCTTTTGTATCTTGATTGTTCTGTAAACCTGCTTTTATTTGAATATTGATGTCAGTATTCCAACTGCTGTAAAACGATAAACTTTTATACTGGGTGAGCCCCGGGCGCTAGCTCCTCCTCGCGGACGCTGGCGTGCTTCACGACGGCAGCGCTGTGCTTGGCCGCCTTCCCGTCTGTCCTCTCCAGAGCTCAGCCGGGTGCCTGGGAGCCGCAGACCCGGAGCCAGCTGGCACCTTGCCGTGCCACTTCCTTTGTGTTTCTATGACGTTTGTCGTGTTGCCGTTTAGAGTAAATAAACTGTTTATATAAAGGTTTTCGTTGCCTTATCGTCATTCACCGAGTGTGAGGAGGAGGCCCTGCCCCAGGCTCCCGGCGCTGGCCTGTCCTTTGTAAATAGCGCCGGGTCCGGAGCCGTGGCCCTGCCCCAGGCTGGGCTCTGGTGACTTGGAGTCGGCGTCACCCTGGCACACGTGAAGCTCAGAAGTTGGAGAGCCGGCGCCTGCACCACCGTCCGTGTCTCAGGCGCCGAACCCAGCCAGCCAGACGCCCGTCCAGGCGGCAAGGCCCACCCTGGTCCCCCCAGCGCACGTCCTGGAGGCAGCTGCAGGGACCGGCACCCTCTTCTCCTGGTCGGACGTCACACCTGTGGACAGCGGCCCTCAGCCCTGCGCTGCCTGCCCTCCCGGGCCCCTGGCGGAGCAGCCGGGCTCCAGCCCACGCTCCTGGGCCCTCCTTGGTCCACCCCAGGAGCTGCCCCCTGCTGGGCACCGGCCTCTGGCTGGTCGCTGCTGCTCAGTCCTCTGCTTCAGAAAGCCACCGGGGAGTGGACCGGCAGCAGAGGGCGGCGGCAGCTCCCAGCGCCCCTGGACCGGGGACTAGCCTGCTCCCCGGAGGCAGGCCCGGCCTAGGAGGCAGGCGTGTTGATGGACTGATGGAGACGGGGAGTGGCCGAGGGTGAAGGTGCTGTGCCTGCGTTCCTGGACGGCAGTGAAGAGGACTTGCTGTTCGCGTCTTGGTGCCCAGGACTGAACAGTTTCCTTGAGAGTGGAGACCGGGTGCCTCCGGCATTGCTGACGGTCTGCAGGCCCTGTGGTGGCATCTGGGTCTGCTGCGCAGGGACCGGAGGGGACGGGCCTAAAGCCCAGTGGGCCCCCAGGAAGGACTGGTGCAGAAGGGGGTGCCGGGGGTGCCCGAGAAGACGCAGCAGGCACACGAGGCTTGGCGTAGGCGGACTGGTCCAGGCTCCCAGGGAGGTCGGCATGGCGCCATCGGGCCCCCGGGCCCCTGCGGAGCTTGCTGGTGGTGACTGAGGACTCCAGCTGCTGCTGGCGGCTGCGTGCGCTGAGTGCCTTGTTGGCTCCAGGAGGCCGTGTGGGCGCTTGGCTCTGCCTGCGGCCACGGCCCATGGACTACACAGGGGACCTCGGCGTGGACCACCCTCTGCACACCACCGGCTCCTGGAATGTCCTGTTTTACAGCGATAGCGTGACGCCTGGCAGTGGTCATGCTTGTGCATGGCCTAGTACACGAGGAGTCGGTCTGTTCTGCGCTGCAAGTGTTTGGAGGCAGTGGATGGCCTTAGCACACCGGAGTGATACCTGCTAACGAAATGCCCCCTCGTACCATGGTCCCCGCTTAAAGACACAAACCCTGTGATGCGAGACCCTGACTCCGGTCCCCTGTTTGTAACATAGGGAGCAGGGCTGTTCCCAGCATGAGCCACCTTGTATGTAGTAGGGTTTGTGGGCTGGTGAACCATTGTGTCGATGAATCCTCATTAAAGCTTTCCACAAACCGGCCCGTGGGCTGCGTCCTTCCGGCCCCGCCGGCTGCCGGCCTGGCCCAGGGAGCCAGAGCCCCAGCACTCCGGGCACCTCCCCTCCCCTGTTCTCCCCGGACCAAACCCTGATGGATCCCCCCACCCCTGCATCAGGCTGGTGGGAAGCTCCATCACGGTTGCCATGACAACATTGTCAGGTTGGAGGGCCTGAGCGTGACTTGGGCTGCCCTGAACTGGTCTGAGCCAGCGACAGCAGGGAGGGGCCCAAGGGGTTATCCTCTGCTGACCCCACGGGGGCACCGAGTCGCCATCTGGAAGCCTGCAGGCTTCCTGGACCCCACCTGGGGGTCCTCCCACATAAACCCCCGCTGCCTCCTCCTGAAGGCCCCCTCCGCAGTGGGCTTGCGAGGAGAGACCTGTGGGCCGCCCCTCGAGGTCTCGCCAAGGTGCCTGGAAGCCCCAGAGCAGGGCCAGGGCCGAAGCTCCAGTCCTCAGAACAACGCCCGCCGGCCCTGGGCTGCTGCCCCAGCTCTGTCCTTGGCCCCACGGCCCCTGCTGGCCGGTGCAGTGCCCTCCAGCCAGGTCACCCTGGCTCTCGGGGACAGCGGGAGAGACCGTCTGCACCCCCTGACCTGAGGCTGGAGGCTGCCCCCTGTGACCTGGGAGGGCTTCCCTTGCCTGCTGGTCTCTGCTCGAGGGGCTGTCAGGACAGGCAGCAAGACCCACTCTGCGCTGGTGGCTTGACAGATGCAGCCTCAGTGCTGCTCGCCCTCCTGCCTGGGCCCCGGCCCCCTCTCTGCTGGCAGTGCCAGCCCGGAGTGACCTCTTCGGGCCCCTGGTGGGAGTCCCTGGGGTTAGGACAGTGGGAGACGGCTCAGCCTTGTGTGTGTGATGTGGGTGAAAGTTTACAGAGCAAATGCACCTTCCACGCAGCAGTTGATACACATTTTGTTTCATGACATTGACTGTAATTCCACACACTTCCCACCTCCTCCCAGACAGCTAGTCTGCATAGCAGGCCGTGCCTGCAATCCTGCAGCCTGCCACCAGATGGCGCTGACCTGGGCTCCTGAGCTGTTCATCAGCCAGGGGTGGGACAGGGCGACATGCGGGGCTTGTCTCCTGTCAGCCCCTTTCTCCTGCTCTTGGCAGCCGACCCTCTCCAGCCCCAAGCCCTGAGGGTGTGAGCTGAGCCCAGCCCCGCCCCCATCTAGCCCCCCCAGAGCAAGGCAGAAGGGGGCAGTGACTGGTTCAGAGCGAGGTCGGGGTGCAAACCCTGGCCACAGTCCCAGAGAACCCAGCGGCCCACCTTCTCGGCCCTCAACCTACAAAGGCAGGAACGGCCTGAAGGGGCGCCTCCTCGCCCCAGGCCCTGTCCCACCCCGTGAACCAGATGAGAACTTGGCTTTATCCTTGGGCGGTGTCAGCCCTGTGACAGATGGGGGAAACTGAGGCGCGGGGAGGGGTGGGACGGCCTGGGCAGTCTGACGTGGCCAGGTTGGGAGGATGCAAGACTTGAACCCGAACGGGACCTGCCAGCGGGGCGGGGGACAGGGGCATCCGGTGGTTGTCCTGGGAAACCGAGGCAGCAGCTGGGTGTGGGGCCCTGGACAAGCCCTGTCCCCCGCCAGGCCCCAGTCTGCTTCCTTGTAAAAGAGGGATGAGGGTCCCCAAGGGCCCTTCAGTCCTGACGGGCTGTGTCGGGTTGTTGCTGGCCCCTCCTGACAGGGCCTGTGTCGGGTTGTTGCTGGCCCCTACTGCCTCGGCTCCCCAAGGAGTGCAGTGGGGACCTGGGGGCAAGCGCCCCCTCTCGCCTCCGCTCCTGCCACCCCCCTACTCCCCCTGACTTCCTGTTTACAGCATCTGCTGCCTCATCTCTCACCCCAAAGCCATTGCAATCACCATGGCAACCAGGCCGGTGTTTGTGCCAGAACCCAACATAAGACTGTGGGGTGGGGGGCATGAGCCCCAAGACGCAGGCTAAGGACCTGCCATCACCCCCAAGGGACATAAGCTGTCTCTACACCAACGCCTGTCCCTCAAAGAGGAGGGGGTCCAGTGCCAGGGCCCCGCCCCTGCATGCATGACGCTGCTGTCCTGGGTTCCTGTCCTGAGCCCCCCTCCCATTTGCCTGAGTCTGGAGCGAGGTAGAGTCCTGGAAGGCCCCATCCCCAAATTCTGCCTCCCTCCGCCCATGACGGCTCTGGGCTACGGGGTGGCGCCATCCCAGCCGTGTCCACCCAACTCTGAGGCCAGCTGCCCGGTTCCTCCCAGGCCGGGGGACCTCGGCCTTGAGGGACGCCCTTCTCTCCGGAGGGACGCAGAGGGAGGTGAGGATAGGACTGCCACCCTGCCTCCCTGCACAGAACTGGACCCGGGCCTTCCTCCCGGCGGAGCCGGGGTGGCTGCCAGGCCTCGAGGCCCGCATGAGAGACCCGTCCCTTTGGAGTTCACACTCCAGATCGAACCCACGTCCCAGGAGGACCAAGGGCTGGGCCGGCAGCCCGGACCGGCTGTGCACCTCGGCCACGCCCAAGAACCTCTCTGGTCAGCCTGGAGACTAGTGTGCTTCCGGCGGAACAAGGGGCGAGACCAGCAGCACCTGTCTCGGGGAACTTGTCCGAGAGGCAAGGCTTTGGGCCAGCGAGCTGTTCCAGAAGCCGGGGTCGGGGGGCGCCCAGCACCCCGTGTTCTAAGAAGCCCCCCGCGATCCAGGTCCCGTCGGTTGGGTCGAGCCCAGGCCCTAACCGAGATCACCAAACCCCGGGGCTGCCGTGGGGCGTCAGGGTGGACGCCCAGGGTGCGGACTGCCCCCTGGGACAAGAGAAAGCGGCAGATCCTCGGAGGTGGAACCCCCAGACCCAAGCCCGCCCCAGGTTGGGCGGGGACAGCGCCGGCCTTGGGAGGGTCTCCTGGGGCGGCGGCGGCGGGGCTCCGGCCCCGCGACCCTCACCACTAAATCCCCCGCGGGAGAGGGCTCCCGGCTAGGCCCTGGGGCGCAGGGACCCCCG